AAGCAGAGGGCATTTAAGGAAAACAAAAAAAAAAAAGACAAACAACAAAAAACAAACCACAGAAGCAAAAAGAGAAAAGAAAAAAAGGAAGAAAGGTAGCTTGTTTGTTGTGGTTTGTAACTGCAGCTTACCTCTCCATCACAAGCTCCAGACAGCACTGTAGACAGACTCTTTGGATGTTTGGCCATGCAATTAACTCCATCTCTGTGGCCATCAAGTGAGGCAAGAAAGGGTTTTGCAAACACACGTTCTAGTTTTGTTGCGTTCAGAGCTCTTGTGTACTCTCGTGGAACCTCAAATGGATGCAATGCAGGGTCATAGTTTCTTGGAACTGCAATAAGAGTAACCCACACATTAGAAACCCATGGTATGTAGTGTAGTTCAAGGTAAGCTGAATTCAGCAGCTCTTCTCTTTGATTCTCCTGCCATGGGAGAATTTTCTGCAACATTAAGATTTTTGCCATTCCAACTGTTTTGAAATTGGACTCTGGGATCATTAGTATGCTCACTTAACAAGCTCAAAGTTAATGAAGTCTGAAATAACTCTGAAATTATTTGATGTCCTTTTCAAGGGAAGATACGAATATACACAACGAACTGAAAGTTACAGATATGTTGCAACTATTATTTAAAAAAAAAAACCACCCAACAACCACACAGTAAAAAAAAAAAAAACCCACACAATGCCAACCTCCTACCACTAAACTCTAACATACACAGAAAGGACACGGCACAAAGAGAGGCAACCAGCTCTCTCCACGTTTAGTCAGCTGCAAGCCAGCCCGGGCTCAGACGACAGGCTCGTTAGTTTCATTAGTTTGGTCCTCTGATCCAAACAGGAGCATTTACATCCAACAAGCTTTAAGCAAGGGTCTCTCCGCATCTGCCTGCGCAGATCTACCTTACAATAAACTGAGGAAGATGGTGTAAATGGACATTGTGCTTCTGGGTTTTGTCTCTTTCATTTCGTTTCATGCAAAAAAGGTTGAAAAGTCAGTAGAGCAAGTGACAACAGATAACTCATTAAGAATTGATACTTAGTTCAGTCTGCTGGTTTCCAAAGACTATTTGATGTATATCAAAACCTCTCAAATCTCTGATGAAATGGAGCTGGGTATCACTCTGTAACATGACAGCTTACACACAAATCCCACTTCCAAAATTAAGGTGTATTCAGCCACTGTCCCTGTGGGTAACTTCAACAATGTTTTTCCATATTATAAGCATAAAACCACAATTACTTAACAACAAAATGCTAGTTATGAGGCTACTTTGCACAACACAACCACCTACCTCTAATTCAATCAAGTAATGAAGCACAAGCAATTTAAAATAATACAGGTCTCTCGTCCTGCTCCAAACACTTTTAGTGCATCCAAGATGCCTAGAGCTTTATTCCTGCTCTTTCTGAGAACGGGTGGCCATTTTACAGACTTACTGTTGACACTAGGTAGAAACTAAACCTCATTTCTACCATATTACAGAGGTGAAACTGCACAACTGTGTGAGAGCAGTCCTACGGAAGATGAGCAGAACAGAATATGGGAAATTATCTCGGCTGCTGCATCTATAAATGTGTAAATACTACACGACTTTTGACAGTTTTAATAAAGGATATGTAAGAAACGGAATGAGATGTACCAGGAAAAAACTGCTACTAAGTGTAAAAAACACAACTACTAAGTGTAAGAGTGCTTAGAATAAGCCAGGTAATACCAAGAGTAATCTCGGAGCAGCAGAACGGTGACCAACCCCCCCAGCTCCGCACGCCAGCTCTAACGGCGTTTCCAGGCCACGCTCCGGCAGCCCCAGCACACAGGTT